GCCCGCCACCGCCCCCCAGCTGCTCTGCTCCCGGCTTCCCCGATTCAGCTGCTGGTCAGTTTCAGCAGCAGCTGAATGGGGGACGCCTGTCCGGCTGCCCCAGCACTTCCGGGTTCCTGATGGTGCCGGACCATCAGGAGTCCCGGAGCATTGGATGCCGGACTAATGGAGTTTTACTGTACCTCACCTTTTTTACCCTAACTTTGATGCCTTGTTCTCTTTCTTCCTTGTACCTCAGTCTCCTATCACTTCTGTTTTCAATACTACTTATGTGAGGTCAAACCGTCTAATCATAAAGTAGTTGTTTTAGTTTTAGATCTAGTGAAGATGAAGTTTATCTATGTTGCACTATATATAGAAATGTGGAATGATGACAAAGCTAGATATTTTTCTTTTACTGAATCTTAAAAAAAAAAATTGATATTAGCACACAAAATTACCAAATAAAGTATATTGTATGAAACCTTCATACAAACTTCCTTGAACTATCCTAGAATACTCTGCTATGGAATAAACTACCTCCTGCTTTCAAGTAGGTGCTATACTATTGCTTTAAACGCAGCATTTAAGTCAAGTAGTACCAATATAAAACTCCTACAAAAATCCCACTTCATAGGTAGAAGGAAAATTTCAGTGCTCTGGAAAACGTTTTTTTCAGGCACCACTGCCTCTACTTGGCTAACCCTTTCCCTTATATGTTTGATTTATAAAATTTGCTTAAAGAGGGTACAATCTACTTTTCATAAACTTTCTAATTTGAAGAATCTGGATTAAGGAGACAGAACAATTTTTAAGTTCATTGTTGTCATTAGAACACTTCATGTAACACACTGTGCTTTGTGCTTGCTTCTCATTTTTATTTTAAACAAAGGTCTAATTCTGTGGCTCTTCACAGAATGAATTTTCTAGATCTGAAAAATATAAAGTGATACATACCTTCCCGTGCTGTGTATTCGTTATCTTCAATTACTCTGGCTAGTCCAAAATCAGCAATTTTGCACATCAGTGAATCCGAAACCAGAACATTAGCTGCTCTCAGATCTCTATGAATGTAGTTTTTCCTTTCTATATATGCCATTCCCTCTGCAATCTGTTAAAAAAACAAAAAAATACCTAAGCAAATATGAGCTGTTCTCCTTTACCACAGCCTTCATTAGTTACTGTAGCATCAAGTATGTATGGAGCATTTTACATATATATGAGAGGCAAAATCCATATGTATGGAGCATTTTACATATATATATATATATATATGAGAGGCAAAATCCCTGCCCAGAAAAGGTTTTAAAGGTCAGTCCTGCAAATCTTCACTCGCAATAGACTTCCTGGTGATTCCAGAAAGATTGCATGTGTGAATAAGTTTGCAGGATTTGGCTCTCCACATTCAGTTACAGTCTCTGATCGGGCAGAGAATTTAGGCATATGCTAAATTTAGGCCCTGCTGAATTCAGTCAGGAATGTGGTTAAGAGTCTTCCTGAACCAGAGCCTTCATGCTAATAAAATACATATTAAAATTATACTGTGGGATTTCTTCCCCAAAATTCTCTATCCAAAAACTGGTGTTAAATTAACATATTCAAACAATAAAATGGAATAGCGTTAAAGAGTAAATAAAAGCTTTGTATGGATTTCCTATTGTAAAGTGTTCCTTTTCCAGGGAGATTAACAAGAAAGCATTCTTTGAAGTGTTAGTAAAACTGCAATTATAAAAACATAAGAACGGCCACACTGAGTCATTCCAAAGGTCCATCTAGCCCAGTATCCGATCTTTCGACAGTGGCCAATTCTAGGTGCTTCAGAGAACAGAGCAGAACAGGTAATCATCAAGTGATCCATCCCGGTTGCCCTTTCCCTGTTTCTGGCAGAGGCTAGGGACACAATCCCTGCCCATTTTTGCTGATAGCCAGTGATTGACCTATCCTCTATGAATGTATCTAGTTCTTTATAGTGTTGGCCTTTACAAATTTCTCTGGTAAAGAGTTCCACAGGTTGACTAATATAATATCCAATACAAATTTGAACATTTTCAAGAAAATTTTCAGAGAAGTCAGCTAGCTCTGTGTTTATTCTTATTTACAGTATGCATCTGAGCATGCACTAGGAATGTCTGGAAACCCCGGCTCTTATGTCTCTAATTTCATAAGTAAACAATGAAATAAAATTACCATTTTTTCTTAACTATTCAAATTACAAGTCATAAGTATTCTGGCAATTATCAGAGATGTTGTTTCAGCATTTGCCCAAATCATTACTTTATTTTTAAAATGATGTGTGAAAACATTGGGTAATCCACACCACCAAGTGTGTCCAAATTACTGTATAGTACAATAAAACTTACACATTTGGAAAGCAGCTGCCAAAAAAGGACCCTTGACTCTACAGACTACTGTAGATATGGCTCTGATGCAGCGGCAGATTTAGAGTTAGTAGGGCCCTGTGCTCAGCTTCATTTTTGGGGTCCCACTGAGACCCAGCCAAGAGAAAGAACATTTACTCTTCCTGTCCCCCCACACTTTTCATTCTTTTTTCTTTATCCTCCTCCTATATTATAAGTAATAAGAAGTACATGAAAATAAAGTGAGGTACTTTGGTTGTTTTTTTAGTCTAACTTTTTTCATAGATCAGTTGAACATTGCTGAGGATCTTGGTGGATCACTTAATGGTCTTTCCAAATATTGTTTGTACCATGAGCTAACTATTGTAAAGTGCTTTGGGTAAGAGCGCTTTATAAAAATACCATAATAATGTTCCTGAGTTCACCTGAATGGCATTCTCGAAACACAGTTTGAGAACTTCTGGTCTAGATGAAAGCTTGTATTTTCATTAAGCCAACATGAAAAATGTGTAAAATAAAATGTATAGATGACACATGAATGGAAAAATAAAAGTTAACTTCCTCTGAAGAAGCTTACTCAATTTGAAAAAAAAAATCAGCTGGCTTTCTTTCTATACTTTTTCTTTACAAAATCTTCAATTAAGTCATTGTAAGTGTAAGCAGGGCATGAATCAATGCTTCCATTACAGCCAGCTGGAATGGGAAAGAAATCCTAGGTTTGTTTATGTAAACACAGTTCACGCCGTTTGCTTAGGCCTGCTAGATATTCAATTGTTAGAATGGTGTTTTACTCATAGTAACCAATTTAGCTGCTGTGGGGTCATAAACTGTTAACACTAAATGGAGAAATTGTGAGATATGATCACCAATGCTTGCAGTTACTGGGGAAATGCAGAAAAGTCAGACTGTGTTTAACTCAGTTCAAAGGAGAGAAACTGTCAGTGTAAATAACCTTGGACAGACAAGGCTTCCTGTGCCAACACTCTGTGACTTTAACTAAAGGAAGGGCAGGACTCTGAATCAGCTGGCCGCATGCCCTCCAGCCATGAGCTGTAAGACTGGTTGAACCTGTTTCTCCCCCTCCCCCCCCACACATACACTTCTAATGACAGAACTAGAGCAGACTCCATAAGGAGTCTTTTTATTATTTTTAAATTTACTCCAGTGGATGCTGGAGTTTCTTATGGCTGGCCTGTGCTTTGGGCCAAGAGCTGAAATCACTAAGTTTGGCCCAAAGTCAAATTCACCACAAGCCAATTGAAGATGCGATGAGTGGCCAGCAGAGCGGTGGCAGCACAACGAGCCTCAAGGCAAGACAAATGGACAGCAAGGCAGCAGCAGAGAGCAGCAAAGAGCAGTGAGCAGGTGGATGGTGAGCAACCAGCAGAGTGAATAAGATTCTTCCTTACGTCCCTTGCACTCAGGCTGGAAGGTGAACTCTGCGGATGCACCTCTGAACTCTGGGGGTATGTCTACACTAGCCTCCTATTTCGAAATAGGGATGCTAATGTAGGCATTCAAAGTTGCGTATCAAGCCCGGGATTTAAATATCCCGCGCTTGATTTGCATCTTCTCGGCCGGTCGCCATTTTTTGAAATTTACAAGTCCAGACTAACTGCCCGCGTCTACACACGGCAGGGACCCGGTATTTCGAATTAAAGCCCTAAATCGAACTACCTGTTAAACCTCCTTGCAGGAGGAATAATACCTTGAAGAAGGAATAACAGGTAGTTCAATTTAGGGCTTTAATTCGAAATACCGAATTACACAGACATACCCTGGGTCTGCCCTGACCAAGGCAGCAACTGTGAGTGGGGAGCAGAGAAGGGCTGGGCATATGAAGGGGACATTTATGTTGCTGGACTTAAGAACCTGTGAGGAAAAGGACATTGTCCAACCTACTTGGAGGGGCACTGTTTCTTATGTTTTTGGTTATGAACTCACATTACTTCCCTCCCTTTTTATTAAAGGTTTCTTTTCTACACTCTGACTATGTGCTTACAGTTTTTATTAAAGGTTTCTTTTCTACACTCAGACTATGTGCTTACAGGTGGGGAACCACTGCCTCTCAGAGGCACCCAGGGGTGCTGTGTGATTTTCCCAGGTTACTGGGTGGAGGCTCGAGCCAGTTCTGTGTTGGATGGATGAAGAGAAACCCCTAGATACTGAACCTGGCCCTGGCTGGTGCTGGCAGAAGGGTTACATAAGTAATATTTTGTAAAGAGGCACTTTCAATTGTCAATAATGCTGATAATATGTGACACTGCACAGAAAATGGGTCAAACCCTCTAATCATAAAGTTGTTGATCTAGTTTTAGATCTACATATTGCTTAACTTGTCAAATGTTCCTCCCTGCTCTCTTACTTCCCCCAGAGCCCTCTCTGCCAGGGCTGGCCCTACCATGAGGCAAACTGAGGCGGCTGCCTTAGGTGCCAGACTGTGGGGGGCGCCACTAGGACCCAAAGTGTAGAAAATTGTGTCTGCTGCTGGTGCATATGTAGGTAGCAGAGCAGTACCATGAGAGGAGTAGAAGAGGAAGAAGGCAGAATTGAGATCTTTCAAAGTTTTGGCCCAAAGGAGACATCATTTGAGCTCCTTGCCTCAGGTGCCAAAATGTTGTGGGCTGGCCCTGCTCTCCGCAGAGGGACTACCCTTCCTTCCGCAAAGTGGCCACCCCCTTTGTGGGGCAAGGGAATTGCCAGACCCAGTGCTGGACCACCCGGCCCTAGGGGCCCCCCATGTCATTTGGGGGGCCCGTATCAGGGCATGGTATGTTTCACTGAAAATCTACCTCTGCTTAGAGCTATTGACGAACTCCTACAGATAAGTTATAATGCCCTTCCTATTGTACGGGGAAAACACTGCTGTCTGTTCTGAGAGAGTGCTGGGGTAGAAAAAAAACACAGGGAACTTTTTTCAACCCCATCCTCCTGTGCATTAGCTGTCCCCTTATCAGTACAAGTTAGCACCAGTCTGTGTGTTCCATGGCTGGCCTTGCACTGCTCCATGTATACAGGAACTTGCCTCATTTTGCACCACACAGAGCATCAGAGTCTAAACTTTTGTTAAAAAATTAACAACACTTCCGATAATGTCTTTAAAAAGCCCCCAAAGGACAAGACAAGTGCACCGGCAAGCATTTATGACAGCAACTGCACACACTCTTTGTTCCTCTTTTTGGGTCCAGACACTGGAAAAAAAAATGCATTTCATTCCGCTCCCTTCCCCCCCGACCGACACACATACATACACATACACCATTGTGAACCTTTGCTTATAAACCAATGTACTGCTGCTTTTTCAGACAAAAGAGTGGAGTTTCAGTTGCAAAACAGAAATAAAAGTTCTCATGCAGAACCAAGATAGGGTTTTTATCACTATTTGTGATGATCAGAAGTAGATACTATATGTAATCTGTTGATAAGTAAAATGAAAGGAGTATCTGCTATGGACTACTTATTAGAAAAGATCTTTTTTGGAGATCTACAGGCTAGCCACACATTGAAATACTGAATTCTGTGTGCAGTGATGGGCACAAGCTCGATTACTTGGGTATTGGGAAGAAGCAGGGATCAAACTATAATTGATACAGATACTGGTTTTATTTGCTTTGACAATGACTCCACTGAAAGGCAGAAAAGTACATCTATGTCACGGAAGTAATCAACTTCCCTGTCATTCCGCCACACACTTAATGGGAATGGTTTATGCGACACAATGAACAGGATGCAACACTGTGGGAAACAGACTGTG